GAAAACCCTTGAGGCTGCGTTTGCTACCCACCCTCACAGAGGTGAGGGATGGGATGATGACAGTGCCTGTTCACTCCCAAATCCCATTTTGCATTGCTAATGCATTTCTGCCTTGACCTACAAAGATCACCTGTGGGAGAAGAGGGATAATTTGTTCCAAATGTGTAGTCAGTCCTTTTTTTTTTTTCTGGCCTGAGCACTCAGCCTTACTTTCTTTGTGTTTGTCCAAGTATGCTGTCATGGGTTTCTTTTTGTGGAGAGGCTAATTATCTTCTAGGTGCTGACCTGAAAAGCAGTAACACTCTTTTTAAAGGAAGACATCTGTGTCTCCTTCAAACCAGTCCAGATGGCTGGAATTTACTGCCCGACACCAAATAGGCCATTGCTTGTATTCTCTTTTCCCTCTTTTCTTTTACCATGTAGACTTTGACTAATTCTAGCAACTAGTTCTAGCAACTAATTCTAGCAACTGAAGATCTCACCAAGGGGCTGGGATTTACTCTGTCAGTGTGTCCAGAGGCCACGTGTGCTTGGAAAGGCTTGAACAGCTCCCAGTTATCAACTGAAACTTGTGACAAAAAACAGGGTTTCATCCGAGTGCACCGGAATAAAAACAAACCCCACAGATCACAAATCACAGTGATGCAGTGCTGCAGTGAAGGGCCAGCTGTTCCCCTATGCCCAGCCCATATCCACCCAAAATGCACAGAGAGAGAGGAAACCCTGTGATATTTCTGGTTCTAGGAACAAAAACCTCCTGCATGGCTAAACACAAACCTTGTCATGGAATCAACATACCTAAATATGCCATTAGAAGGCCCACAGTGATGTGACATGGAAAACTGGGAAAGATTGTGTCATTTAGAAGTATTTCTGCATCCCTTGGATCAGTGATTGTCACTGTACTTCAGAATATTAATATGATATTTTTTCTGATTTTTCTCTCTTCCTGTCATTTTCTTTGTTTTATCCATGATATGGGTCTCTGATAATATCCTCATCTTTATGGAAAAATATTGGTGACAAATCCAGGATAGCAACTTCAGCATCTAAAATGAGCAGCAGCGTAAAAGTCAGAAAACATCTTTTCAGTTAAAAAAAAGTGCTGATTTTAAAACATGGGAGAAGGAAAAAGATGTGCTGTCAGGGTCTGCCCCCATGCAGAATCACTATTGACCTACATAGAATGCAGAGCTGAGTGGGAGTTTTCCAATATAAATGTTTTTTGTTTTTGCAGGAAAAAATATTTTTAACAGACAGAAACATGATTGGGAAATGATCAGTCATAGGAATACCCTGACTAAAAAACTTTAGGAACAAAATTTCCAGAACACCTTACCTTACATTATTTCTAGAAGATAATTTCTACTATTTCTTTCCAGTTCATGCATTTTGTATGAAAACTGAAAATAATTCATATGAAACTTGATCATAAAATCCCATTTTGCTAAAGGACAAGCAAATCTGTGAGTTGAACTGGAATTAAACATCTCTGGCTCATTAGAAGGCTTGAATACCTTAATTTTGGGACAAGGAAACTGTAGACATTGTAATTTTTTTTTGTCTCAAGGAACCAGAACATTTCTGCCTGCCAAACCTTACCTGGAAATCAATTTATTTCAGCAAATGGGATTATTCTAGGGGTGTCTTGGCAAAAAATGCTGTGAGATATCAAGGTCTCTGAGAGCTTGCTCTTGGAATAATTTCTCCAGCTATGGAAAACTTATACACTGAGAGGATATGGCAGCTAAATAACAGCAGGTAGGAGGGGATAGCTGCAGCAATGGTGTAAGCAGCACAATGGAGCATTTAGGAGGCTTCTGCTAATCACACCTCAAGAAGGAACAGGTCCCTAATCCTCTGGCAGATCTGCTTCCACTGTGGGGTTATGGAAAGAGGTGAGATAAGGAGAGGGTCCTGGAATAGCAGTAAATCCAGGGTCCTGGACAATGGTTGGTCAGAAGGTGAGAGGTAGGGCTGGTGCATCTCAGTGCATAGCACGGCAGATTCAGAGCAGAACAGAAGCTGGATTAAGGATAAAATCAACAGAAAGTACATGATGGCTGAAAGCATCTTGTCTATTTTAATAGAGCTAATGTTGCACTGAAAATCCCTGGAAAACACGTGTGTGGCACTGGTGCAGAAAATCACCAGTGTGACTCTTTTCCAGAAGAGGTAGGTGGGAGTGGTGCATAGATCTTTATGTGTAGGACTGAGATAAATTGCTGCAGCTGTCCAGTTAGGACAGTAGAGTTTGAGCTGACTTGTCTGGGAGAAGGAAAGACTATGGAAAACCTAAATCTGATCAAGTCACATGGATGGTGGTGGCCAGGCACAATTGAGGTTGGAGGAAATGCATTGATGGACAAGGAATCTTTCCTCCTCTGCCTTTGGAGGAGCAATTTGCTTTAACAGGCTGAGGAGCAAAGAGGCTCAAAATGGCACCAGTTACCAAAAGCCCTTAGCCACTCCTTTGTAATGCCTAAGCTCCTCAGAAAAGCTTCAGTCTACATGTTGGTCAGAATGAGTAATCCTCCTTTTGTTACAGCCCAAAGATAAAATCTAAGAACAGGAAAGGAAGAGAGGATGTCTTAAACATGGCATGTGCTC